TGGGAGGCTGAGGCGGGAGAAGCACTCAAGGTCAGGAGTTCCAGACCAGCCTGGGCAACACAGTGAGAGCCCGTCTCTACAAAAATAAAAAAATTGACCGGGTATGGAGGCTCACGCCTGGAGTCCCAGCTACCAGGGCTGAGGCAGGAGGACCGCTTGAGCCCAGGAGCTCTGGGCTGCAGTGAGCTGTGCCAGGCAGGCGTCTGCATTAAGTTTGGCATCAACAAGGTGGTTTCCCAGGAGTGGGGGCCACCAAGTTGCCTAAGGAGAGGGGATCGGGCTCAAGTCGGAAGTCGGAAATGGAACAGGCCGATGCTCCTATGTGGGTCAGCGGTGGGGTCGTGCCTATGAGTAGCCACTGCCCTCCGGCCTGGGCAACACAGTGAGACCCTGCCCGTAAAAAGAAAGAGAGAAGGAAGGAAGGGAGGAAGGGAGGAAGGACGAGAGAAAGTGTGTGTGTGAGGGAGCATATATACAAGACAATGTGACAAGTTGCCCCTAGAGTAAGACGAGAAATGTTACGCCCACCTATTTGCTTGTCTGTGCATACAATCCTTCTAGAGGTACACATAGGAAACTAAGGAATTGATGGAATCCATGTTTGGAGCCTCTGGCCGGGAGGGGTGGGGAGAATGTGCACCCACACCTTGATCCTTCCAGAGCTGAGTCTCAGGTGCACATCACCCATCCTAAGCGACAAAGCACAACGCCCGTCGTCCGTGCACCCAGAGCGCCCGTCACCTGGGGCTTGAGAGGGACTTTCTGCGTTTTCAAGAGGCTGCTGGATCCGGACAGCCAGGCCAGCTGCAGTCTCGGGAGTTTCCAGGCGGGGAGGGTCACAGTCTCAGGTGGGAGCCCAGGGTTCATCTTGCCCTGGGCTCAGCCGGGAGACTGTGCTCAGCTGAGTCCAAAGGGTCAGCCACAGTGCCCTGATTTCTGAGATCCAAGGGTTCGAGGGACCCAGTGAGACCCACGGGGAGAGACGGCCATCTGTGCCAGGGACAGCCAGGGGTCTCCTGGGAGCCCAGCCCCCCTCTGCCCGCCTGCAGACAGCAGACACAGGAGGGCCCCGGAAAGGGACAGTCGAGACGGGTGGTCTTGGAGGATGCGGGCCCGGGAGCACGACTGTCCCTGCGGAAATGAGCAGGAGACAGGGTCTCTCCAGTCAGCAGACATTGGAACCCGCCCGCCCCTTGGGCCCAAGACGGCTGGAGGGTTTTTGCGGGGACCCGCAGCCAGATGTCCCAAGTCATGCTGCAGGCTCGGCCTCCCTGCCAGGCCGAGAAGATTCCGCAGCGCTGGCTGAGTTATGTGAGCCCCGGTAATTGAATTCGCGGGCGCAGCCGGCACCAAGGGCTCTCCAGGTCCCTCGGCCCCTAATGGCATTGCCTCCCGCTTCCTCTCCACTGACCACAAGCCGTTTGGCCAAATTAGACCTCGAGCTCCAAAAGCAGACGCCTTCCTCTGGATAAGGCCCGAAGCGATTCCCGTGGGGGCGGGAGGGCTGTCTCCTGGTGCTGGTGTGTGCAGGGCGGCACTTCGCCACGCGTGAGGTGCTGGTCCCCGGCGCCTGCAGCGAGGGCGTCTCTGGAGGGCAGGAGTGGGGGCAGAGAAAGCAGCCTTCTTGGGTCGCCGTGGGGGGGGGTTCGGGGACCTCTCAAGTCTCAGGACCGGCAAGTGGTGCCTCCGCTCGGGGCAGCTCTGGGGCTCAGGACACCTCCCCACCCCAAGCCTGGGGGAACCCCTCCTGGTTCTCTGTTGCCTCCTTGCAGTCTTAATAGCGGCGGTCTTAGGATGTGACCAGATTTGGAGGTGGGGTCTTTATGGCAGTGACTGAGTTGAAACGAGGCCCTAATCCAATCCAATTGACGTCCTCCTAAGAGGAGAAAACGTGGCCACACAAAGAGGCACAGGGGACATGTGCACAGAGGAGAGCCCACGTGAGGCCACAGCAAGGCAGTGACCGGCCACGGCCAGGGCGGCAGGCCTCGGGAGGCACTAACCCCGCCCCACCTGGACTGCTGTCCCCCAGGCCTGAGAGACAGATGTCTGTGGGTTAAGCCCCCCGGCCCGTGGCCTAGTCAAAGCAGCCCCTGTGGCGTTCCCGCCGTGGTGTTCCCGCAATGCTCTGTGCACACCATCAGGTCTCTCTCTGCCCAGCTTATTTCCTGACGGATTTCGGGAAGCCACGGAGCCTGCCCCTCCTTGGAGAGGGGGCAGGGGAGGTGGGTGCCTGGCCAAGGCCCCCGCACACCCAGCTGGACCCCCTCCACGGTGGCCCAGTCGGAGAGGCACCCAGGACAAGTTCTTCCTGGGAGTTTACACACCCAGGCGCTGGGCGTCGGCGACACTTGGCTCTGTGGGCACCACTTCCTCAGAGGCGCCCGGCTCCTCCCTCGAGGGTGGCGTGGAAGGAAGTAGCCGCGCTATGTGGTACCTGAACCGCCACAGTCTCTGGAGTCAGTGTCTGGGCTCAGGCCCCGCCTGCTCGTCTCACTGGGTGAGTGACCTGGTGGCCTCGGGCATGCCCCTCCTCTCTGAGTCTTGTCTAGAAATGCAGATATAGATGGGTACGCACCTGTGGGGTGGCTGGGGGAGGGTGGGGAGCGTTCCCTCCCGGGCACCTCGTCCCTGGGTGAGGGAGATGCCGTCTGCTGTGATAAACGAGCGTGGCAGCGGCTTATCCTGGCCCAAGGGTGTGTCTTGCCCCCGCAAGAGCCCAGCGTCCCCGTTCCGGACCCGGCGCTGGCCTCCGTCCTGGCAGATAGGGGTGCAGATCTATCCCATCTTGGCCCCCTCCGCCCCCAGAGCTCGGGTCCTCTCGTCCAGGCTGGACCACAGCCAAGAACGGCCAGGGCGCCATCTCTTCTCTTGCAGGGGCAAGGTGGCCACTCTCGGGGTTGCTGGGAAGGGAGCACGTCGGGGGAAGTGCCAGCCTCATCCACACAGCCTCCCCTGGGGGTTTCTGGGACGGGAAGTCAGTGCTGGGAGCAGAATGCCTCAGCCATCAGCAGGGGCGCCGGAGAGAGGTGGGCGCTGGAGGGGCTCGGCCCCCGGGAGGGGTGAGGAATCTGGTCAGATATGGAGGGGATCAGCCATGGAGTGGCGAGAAAGCTGACCTGCCGTGGGGTATGGGAGGCATCTGATCCTATGCGGAGGGGGACCCTCCCTGAACTGACCCCGCAGGACCCTTGCTCGGCCCGGACTCCCCAGGGGCAGACGCAGACACGCACAGGGAGGCCTCTCAAGCCGAGGGCTCCCAGGCACCAGCCCGGGGCCAGGGGGAGGAGAGTCTTGTCTGGGGAAGGGAGAGGCTGGTCCCTACCCTACCTCTCGGCCCGCCCAGGCTTGGGGTGGGACCGCAGACATGAAGGCCCCGGGGCCAGTGGGGCTCCAGACTCTGCCCCGACACGGGGGTCTTTCCTCCACGGGACTCCGGGTCCCTGGGAAGGGCGCCTGCGTGATCCAAGCCCCAGAGCCCCTCCGTGTGATGGTGGCGGGAGGAGACAGCAGAGTCCGCTTGGCCCTGGGCGGGCCCTGCGGGGGCGGGGGCAACGGGAGCAGCCCAGGGCGGCCATTCCGGGAATGGTCTCTGGCCTGGGGATTAACCCCAGAGCTGCAATTAAGACAGAATGTCTGAGTCTGACACCTGCTGATGCTGCCAGAGGCCTGGAAGCTGTCCTGTGATCAGGCCCTGCCGGCCAAGGAACCCAGGGGGAACCTGGGGACGGAGGCGGCTCTCAGGGTTGGGGAGGCCTCCTTCCCGCCCAGGGCCCTGTGATGTCTTGGGAGTCAGCCCCGGGAGAAGCAAAGCTGGAAAGCTCCAAGCTTATTGAATAATGCTCCCATTTCACACCTGGAAGAATCGAGGCCCCCGGGGACAGTGAGTCCTGTAAGGTCAGGTGGCCAGTTCCTGCTCCTAACCCCAGCCAGCGACTTGGCTGAAGGGCCATGAAGCGCAGTCGAGCCGATGTCCAGGACCTGGGCTTACCAAGTCCCGCTGTGTGTGCCTGGACGGACAGAGACAAGCCGGAGCACCGGCCAGGGCTGGAGACGGAGAGATGGAGTGAGCTGCTTGCCATGTGCTTCTCAATGAATGAACAGCCCGTGAATCAGTGAATGGGGGAGCGTGCTTTCTTTCAAAGGCGGTGGTGCGGGGATCGGCAGATTCCAGCCAGCCAGCCAGACCTGGCTCCTGCCTGTCCTGGGCGGGCTTTGGTGGGAGCTCGACCACCCACCCTCCTTCCTCTGTGCTGCCAGGCCCAAAGGCACGCGTGGTTGTGTCCTCTCTGAGCCGGCTGACACCCCAGCGCCCGCGCTGGCAGTCCTCCCCCGCGGTGTGTGTTGGAAGGCATGAGCCGCTGGTGCCCTTGGGAACGTGGCAGGGCCCCGTAGGTGTCCACGTGTCCCGGGGCGAGCCACCCCACTGCTCACGGACAGGCGTCATCTGAAAGAGGTGCCTGCGTGCCTGGGGGAATTGTTTGTGCTGCTGTTTCCATTGAGCTCTGCTTTGCCGGCAGCCCTGGGCGCCGAGCCGGTGAGCGCCAAGCCCCTCCATGGGGATCTTCCCTGGGCCGGGAGGGCAGGCTCCCACGGACAGCCAGCTGGGCGACTTGGAGGCTGGCCAGAGCGGCGGTGGCCAGGCAGCTTCTGAGCCACACGAGAAGCAGCCTGCCTGAGAGCTCGCTCCTTTTCCTCACGGCCCCGGGTGCGAGGATGGTGTCCTCACTCCTGGCCTCCTGGCCTCCGGGCAGAGGCACTCTTGTCCTCCAGGCCACCCTCAGCGCACACACGGGGCCAGAGTGGGGCTGCCGGACCCTTCCTGCTCTGGGAGGGAGCTCAGTCCCGGGACCCCGGCGTCTGGGACAGAAGCAGCATCAAGCAGGGCCTGGCCAACTCCCTGATGCCAGGCAGGCCAGGTGCAGGGCACGCTGGGGCGTGACGGAGGCCAGCCCGCCTCCGTGTGTGCTCCCGGGACAGCGAGCCTGGTCTTGGCCACAATGACGGGTCCGTCGGCTGGCCTCTTGCGTCTGCTCGCCGTGTCAGGACTGCTCTGCTCCTCGGCGTGTTGCCCTGGTGAGTTGTGTGCGTGTGTGTGAACGTGTGTGGGGTGTGCACATGTGTGTGTGGGGTGTGTGTGTGTTGGTGTGCATGTGTGTGTGGTATGTGTGCATGTGTGTTCTGTGTGTGCGTGTGTGTGCGTGTGGTGCTTGTACACATGCATGTGGTGTGTGTGCATGTGTTATCTGTGTGTTTGCATGTGTGACGTGTGCATGTGCAAGTGTGTGTGGTGTGTGTGTGTGATGTGTGTAAGCATGTGTGTGGGGTGTGTATGCATGCTTGGTGTGTGTGTGGTGTGTGCATGTGTGGCATGTGTGCATGTGTGTTGCGTGTGGTCTGTGTATGCATATGTGTGTGCTGTGTGATCGTGTGTGTGTGTGTGTGGTGTGTTTTGGAAAAAAGGCTCACGGGAAACGGGCTTGTCCCAGGAGCTTTCTGCTGGGAACTCCTCTCCAGGGATGGCGCTGCAACCTGGGGGTGTCGCGGGTGCTGGTGGGGCTGGCGTGCGTGTTCACATGGGCGTGCCCGCACCAGTGGCCTCCCACCACCTTGGCTTCAGGCTCACAGCGGCTGCTTCCTCGGCTTGATGTGGAATCGAGGGCTGTGGCCCGCGGGCATCCCGCTCCCAGGGGCTGGCCTGGGACCACCCCGAGGGCGGCACCTCGCCTGCCCTGGGCGCTGCAGAGGCAGACTGCCTCCACGGTCTTGCGGGGACGCCAGGGCCCTTGGACCGCGAGGATCGGAGCAGAGCCCTCAAGGTGCCACGGGCCAAGGGCCCTTCCCCGTCCCCTTCCTGGTCAACGGTGCAAGTGTCGCAGGCAGGGACCGCGTGCCGTCTCCCAGCCTGCCGGGGCCAGTGCTCGTGTCTCCTTTTCCCTCTGGGACCTCTTGTGACACGCTTGCTGGACGTGAGGCTGCTTGGTGCACAGACAGGAGGCCAGTCCTGCTGGTGGGAGATGCAGACGGCCCGTGGCAGTCCTGGTGCCGTGTGTATGAAAAGAGACCTCTTGAGACGGCTCCATGGAGCCCTGGGTGCAGATGGGGAAACCAAGTCCAGGCTGCGGAAGTGAGTGGCAGAGCCCCCGTGGCCACGGGCACCCGGCTTACACCCTGTGACTCATGTCTGAGTCTTTCCAAGAGTGAATCACTTCCCAAGGCCGTGCCTCAGTTTCTCAAAATGAAACAACGCGTGGCCACAGGCGCCGGGACAGATGCGTGGAGGTCAGCGGGCCCTGAACTCCAAGGCTGTCACATTACCAAGGCAGCAGTCGGGCTGAGCCACGTGGGGTGTGAGTCCTGCAGCCACCCAGACACAGGCACATGACTGTTTTCGTGGCAGCAGAGCCTCTGGGGCTTTCCCAGACTGGCCCCGAGCTCAGCACGGTCCTCGGAGACGGCACGGACTGGAGAGACCACGGGCCACTCGACGACCCCAGAATAGACATGTGAAGCCCCGGCTTAGCTGACCTCCACGGGGACACGGCTCCAAGCACATCCACCTGATGGAAACATTCTGAACTGGCATGAGCTGCAAATAAACCAGCGGCTGAAAACACACAGCCTGGGAACCGGGGCAGGGGCATAGGGGCCTGCCGGTGCAGGAGGGAGGAGGTGGCGGGGGAGGGAGGCCTGGTGCGGGCAGTGCAGGGGCCTCAGGGGCGGGCGCAGGACGGCTCCGGAGGCCACCAACGGAAAGGCGCTGGAGTGAGGGCAGAGGGGAGTGAGCCCGGGTGCCCCGTGGGAGAGGCCGTGAACTGTCAGCCAGGCAAAGCAAAACCCACAGCTGGGCCGCAGAGGGTCCTGGGTCGCCACGAGTCCCCAGCCTCCTCCCCGCGCCCAAGGTCCCAACACTCTGGGACAGGAGTCTAGAGACACTTGGAGAGGGATCTGTTGGCCCATATCACATTCTAGAACAATACAGCTGCATCCCCGTGTCACCAGGAAAGAGAAGAGCCCTGGCAGCCCGGCA